AATAGCTATGCTATTTAATTAAAAAGTATCTCTTTTGAGAAGCTACGAATGTAACATAGATACTTCAATCTTTTTTTCTTGAGCATCGCAAGGATTTGATCATTTGTGGCCATGTTACTTTTTTTTGATCGATTTCTTCTAATATTCACTTATAAATGTGCGTCGTGGGGTAATGATGCCAAAGAATCTTTTTCTCTATTAGAGAAAGATCCTTTTTTATCCTTCATAACAAATAGACTGTGGCTTTCTTAAAGAGACTCTCTTAAGACTATTTTCTGTATCAGAATATATACAAACTGAAGTGTTTAATTGAATATATTTATTAGTGATAAATGACATATATTGAAAAGCAATTGTAAAATGAGATCAAACTTGCAAACTAATCAATTGATGGTTAATAGTTGGTACTTCTCATCACTTTCCACTACTACTGAGCCTGTGAGGGGTAGATGTGGATACTGATGTGATTCTTCATATCCACACCCATCACATTCTTATCCATATACTCAGACTATTCTTTTCATCGAAAGATAGGATCAGTTTGATTTTCATTGACTTACGCAAAAAAAACAGTACAAGAAGCTGAAAGTATAAGCATTAATGAGTTTGAGTAAATGATTGATAATGAGAAAGTTATATAAAACGTTTTCGTATCAAACGAACATTGTTGTTCACTCCATATTATTAAGTGATTAATCGTATGATAATGTTGTTAGTAGAATAAGAAAATGTCAATAAGGATGTTGAGTATGATGAAAAAATAAATTCTAACACCGTTGGAGAATACTGACGGTATTTCTACCCCCTGCAGTGATAATATCGGGTTTATTGTCATTGTTCATATCGAGTACTGCTACTGATCGTGGAGCTGCGCCCATTGAGTAAGTAATTTGAGGAGAAAAAGTGCCGTTGCCTACATTGAGAAGAACACTGACGGTGTTTGAACCACCATTTGCAGTGACAATATCGAGTTTATTGTCGCTATTCACATCGGCTATTGCTACTGACTCTGGGCTTCCTTCGACTGGGTAATCAGTTGCAGAAGAAAAATTACCGATGCCTGTATTCAGAAGAACACTGACGGTGTCTGAAAAGCTATCTGCAGTGACAATATCTGGTTGATTGTCGTTGTTCACATCGGCTACTGCTACTGACCCTGGGCTACTACCAACTGAGTAAATAGTTTGATTAAGAAATGTACTATTACAAGCTGCTAAACAAGAAAAAAAAGAGCTAGATTACAGTTTTTATCATTAAGACACATTATTTCATCGTCTTATTCTATTCAATCTGCAACAGTTTAGCTCAAATCAGAGCAAACCAATAAAATCATTTCACTATGGTCATGACTAATTATAATCCTCTATGATCTCGCTATTTACATAGTTTTCCGATTCTACTTATCGCCATCAACGGCGTTTTAATCTATTTTGATATTAGCAAAGTTATTGACCTCGAATTCAGTTAACTCATTTGTCTCTTCTGCATTCGTTTTTTCATGTGACATCATTCTTTGCAATGTCTTTTCAATACAAACTTTATTTTGTGATATTCTAAACGTATTCTCACGAATATGTTCAAGATGAACTAACACTTCCCAACAACCACTAGGTTATGTCTTTAGTAGATGTAGCTATCAGAAAAAACTAAAATTTCGATGTAAACCTAATTACAAAAAAAAATACTTTTATTCTATTTTAGTAATATCAAGTGAATTCACTCAAGATCTTGCAATCATGTGATAGGTTGATTTATTCGAGTGCATTGGAAACTCTCTTCACTCAAATGAACAGACACAGAGTACCTCGGGGTATAAAATGAGAATGACTGATTCTTTCTAAGGTTTACATAAGAAGTTTAAACTGAACAAGAGGGATCCAGGAGAAATAAAATTTATCCTCTTTTACTTTTCTACAGAACATAGTACAGTCCATTTAATACGTTTGGTCCTTTAAGCATCTACAGAAAAGTCAAATACAACGTACAAAGGTCGGCATCTACATATAAAGTTAAAACTGAGTAGATCTGGTTTTTCGTGGATCTATCATTAATTGCTGTAGCTTCGGGCTGAAATCTCTCTTAAAAGATTCTGCATTTTATTCTACACAAACCTATCTCATAAACATAAAAGTGAATGTAATTATTTTAGTAATACTACAGAAATAATATAACTAACTTTCAAGACAATATCGTAAAAGAAATTATTGTCTGAAAATTACTTATCATCTATCAAACGTATTCAGCAAATAAAAAATAGGAAGTTCTAAGAGTATAGTTTCTCAATCTGAACAATAATTGATCGATTGGCAACTAAAAAAGGTACTATAATTGGTGTGGAATATTACTGACCGATTGATGTTGTTGTTGTTGACGACGTTGATAATGATGTTACTGCTGCTGCTGTTGATGTTGATGTTGATGTTGTTGTTATTGTTATTGTTATTGTTATTGTTGATGTTGTTTTCGATGACGTTGTTGTTGTAGCTATTGTTGTTGATGTTGTTATCGATGACGTTATTGTTGATGATAATGATGATGGCGAAGGCGTTGATGTTGCTGTTGATGATGATGATGATGAGGGTGTTGATGGTGTTATTGTCGGTGATGATGTTATTCTTGTTCTTGTTGTTGGCATTTCTGTTTTTAATATTGCTGCTGTTTGTATTATAGGTTCTTTTGGTGTCGTTGAGAATGTAGTTTCACTCTTCTCTCCATTTGGCATAATGACATTATCAAAAGATGCCTGTTTTATTTGATCTTCCGTTATTTTAGCTCCAGATAAATCACTGTTTGAGAAGTGTGCACCTGTCAGATTTGAGTTTCCAAAATCTGCACCCGATAGATTTACACCATTGAAACTAGCACAAAGTAAAGATGAACCATCAAATTTAACATTATTTAATCGTCCTCCATCAAATGATGCACCATTTAAATTAACAGATGAAAACTCCCCATTTGACATTGATAGCTGATCAAAAAGAATGCATTGTAAATTTAACTTATTTAATAGACCAGTTTCACTTGCCAGACGTACATTATCAAAACTTAGTTCATTCAAACGAATTATGTCATCTAAATTTGTTGTTCTACATCCACCACTACAATTATTTCTACCAATTAATTGCTTTTCTTTAAGGAATTGTATAACATCTGCTTTACGTGTTGTATCCCATTGGCGATGCGCAGCACGATAATATGCATTTGCAAATGCCCATGGATTTCTTGTGTCATTGAGATAACCATCTTTATCTAATTTATAAATATTATTTAAAAATTCATCATACAGTGTTTGTTGTCTTAGTTCTCTTGATTGTTCAAAATCAAATTGTTGTTTTTTCTCAGCTTGTTGTTTTTGTTGTTGAGACCCAATTGTAGTATAAATAGCAAGAGCGATGGGCATAGCAACTGAAGATATAATAGATAATATATCTTTAAGTGTAAAATGACAAAACGCTCGTTTGTTAATATCTATCATTATCTCAATCTGATTTTAGAATGAAAAGTAAAATAATGTGATGGGTTCGAATATAAAGAAAACGCAATTGCTGTTAATAACTAATTTTTCTCTCTTTTGCTGTTTCTTTGTTATTTAACAACATATTAAGTAACAGTTTAATTATATTTCATGCACTACATTGTTGTGATTTTTGTGATCGGAGATATCCTATCTAAATCAATTTCGTTGAAATCATGACAAGCGCTGCGATGTATGATAATTTCAAAATCAGATGTTACTAAAAAAATAAAAGAAATAAATAAGTAAGTAAGTATTCATTACGGGCACAACAATAATTAGAAAAACAGTTTCTTGTTACTTCCAGTTTATTGAATGTTAAATTTGATCTAATATAACAAAAATGTATAAATACCCGTATATCATGATCGCCAGTGACGATGAAAGAAGAAAACTTATACTATTGATTTAAGTATCGGAGATTTCTTCGTTTCTCGAAATACAATACAAAATCATAGCACTTAATTAATTCTCCGAAATCATGGAAAATATATTTTAACAGTAACTGTGAAATGATCTGGTCATATTCATTACAAAGTTCTACCAAAAAGAAAAGAAAAGGGATACTCGAAACTCGATGGATGATTTTTTAATCAAATCCTTTATTCCACACAGACAGTTCTCAATAAATTTTTTTCTTTTAGATTTTGTATATAAAAACCCTTGCTATGCATACGTTAGTCTAAAAATGTAGTAGAAACAGTTTTATAACTGAATCAAATTATTTAAATTTATAATTTATCAAAATTACGAATATAATAATAGGAAAAAGACATTTGTTGCGTGTGATAATACAATGAAAAGCAAAGACTAAATTATTGATTTGATCAATCTGTTACATCTTTGAATTTCTCAATGACTTATACTAAATGAAATCATCATCGAAAAACTAATGAGCAAAAACAAGTTTTTTGTAACACTATCTAATAATAATAAACAAGAAAAGTTGTGATTTGATGCCTTCCTATATCTTAGTTATGGATATAAACCTATACTTAAAAGAGATCATCAAAGACAATTTTATTTTTCAGTAGTGTTAATAATTGAAATTTTATTAACATTCATATAAAAGAAACAATACATCGACAATGTTCTTGAATTAATCAACTAGACAGCATTGATTTATATACTACCTTCAATCTACTAATTTCTTTTCTGTCTTCTGCCGAAGAGTTATACTCTCTTCTTCTCGCAACCAAAAATATTAGTTTCAAGCAAAGAAATGGAAATATAACCTACTTACATAGTTATATCTCATACACATTTATCATTTTTATAATTCAATCACTACAACAATTTGAAACAAAAAAACTCATGTTATCGATATTATGAGAATGCTTCCTATTCCCAAAAGTTACACATTCCGGAATCGCTGCACCCACCCAATTTAACATCATTCAATTCCGGAATTCCTTGCATACGATTCCTGCCCTTTCCGGAACAGATCGAATTCGATTCCTGCCAATTCCGGAATTCCTTCCATCAGATTAATGCTATTCCTGCCAATTCCGGAATTACGAAAGATATGCTTGATATAGAAATGAACATGGTGAGCGACTTATTCCATTCCGTAGCGGAATTCCGGAATTCCTGCCCATTCCGGCTTTTCCGGAATCGGTAGGAATGTGCAGGAATTCCGGCTTTTCCGGAATTGCACAAGTGATACTTCATGTAGAAATGATCCTCCTGAATAATCGAATCGATTCCGTAGCGGAATTCCGGAATTCCTGCCCATTCCGGCTTTTCCGGAATTGGTAGGAATTCCGGGAAATGCACGAATTCCGGAATTCCGTGTTTGTCATCATGTCCAGGCTTACATAAATATCAATTGATCAAGTCATTCCGGAATTGGTAGGAATGTGCAGGAATTCCGGAATAGGTAGGAATCGAATGCAAGGAATTCCGGAATTGAATTATGTTAAGTTGGGTGAGCCAAGCGATTCCGGAATGTGTAACTTTCCGGAATAGGATGACTGCTCGATATTATGTTAGATTTTGATTTTAAGTATATAATAGAAAAGATTTTTCAAACGAGAATAACCTATAATCATCTTGAGGGTGTGGGTGTGAATGTGAGTAGTGTATTGTGATCGCACACCCACACCCACATCCATACCCAAACCCATCCTTTGTTATCACAAAATAGAAAGAGAGAACGCATATTTTATAAGTTTGGTTCTATAATGTAACATTATCTCGGACGTATATATGAAGGTTTTTTCTTATCTCTTAGAAGCAGGGAAGACGTCCTTTCAAGATGAATAATATTATTATTATCGGTTGAAAAGAGAACAAAAAGTTCTTATCAACTTAGACTATTCACTTTGTCTGTCTCTCTTTCAACAATTGTATAATAAAAACTTCATTCAACTTTGCCTATAATCCATGAATCAGATATCTTCTACGCTTCGAAGAGAGAAACCATTAGCAATATATACATGAAAAAGGCACAATAATAACTATTTTGTGATCAACCAAAGTCACTGCGTATGGCTTGTCTTGTTCTGTTTTACATCCATTCTCTTGTCTTTTCGGGCGTGTGCGTGATAGTGCAAGTGTGTCTATGCTCTTCACTCTCATCCATATACATCCATTCCTACCCACATCCTCACACCACATTCACACTCTATAATCAGCACTACATTACACCACGAAAACTATTTCTCACCTGATTTTAAGAACCAGTCGTGATCAAATTGGACTAGCAATTATAATCAAGTTGGTGATATTAATCGATTTAAGTTGGACGACAAAAAAAGGAAGCTAAATCAGATGTGATTATGACAGCGCTGTATGCTAGATGAAATGACTTAAAAAATGTCTTTGTTAATATTTACATCTTGAGGGTGTAAGTAACATAAGAAAGAAATACCCACACTCATATCCTTTGATGTTTCATAAAAATTAGTATATAACTAATTATATTATTCTTATATTTATATTTGTACAAATTTAATGGCAAAACACTATGCTAAATCTAACATAAATATTGTTGTAGTTTTATATTACATCGAATAAATCTAAGAACACATTCATAAACTTAAATGTGAAGGTTATATATCGTGATAACTAAGCAAACAAAAAAAATGTCTGTGTTCTTATCGTATATCTTCACACAGTTACTTATAATAGGAAAGCTTATCTAGTAGACAGTAGTAAACGTAAAACACGCATAGTAACAATAAAAAAAAGAAACCTTGACGGTAAGATTCTTTAGGTTTAATAATAACATTCAACCTAAGATTCTTAGTTATAGTTGGCTAACTATTCCTTGAATCTGCCAACAATCTAGATTATGATGCTTACCTTCATCGAGATCTTTTCATACTTGCGTGTTAATCAGACCCGTTGAAACAGAAAGAAACGTAGTGATATGGGCTTCATATTATCGTGCAAGTTACGGAGACAGTAGACTACTATCTATCTCAAATCGATTGACAGATATTCAGTAAAGAGCCAAAACTTACATAAGTTTTAAAGGACAAGTTACGATAAAGTCATTGTTTGCCTAAAATATTTTTTTGAAAAGAATTACGTATTTAGCAAAAACTTCAAATGCTGAGTAAAATTAAGTACTTTTTTCTATTGAGAAATAACTTTACCTGTAGAAGACTTCAGAGCGATCGAACAATTTTTTGGAGTTAAACATCACTTGTTATGAAACGTGATGATGACTACTAATCGGACCTTGAAATTCGACTACAAGTATCAACATGGTGACATCTTGCAAAAAATGTATCGAACTCATGATTTTTAAGTTAACAGACCTGTTTATGGCTCACTAAGATGTTCTTAACGTGCGTGAATACGTTGAGTAAAGCCTGAAACAATGTTACGCTGATAAATCTAGAGCTAATTCAAAATCGATTTGCTGCGAAATTTTGCTTTAGATAGAAAACACTACTAATTTATTACCACATCGATCGGAGAGGAGAGATAGTTCAAAGCTGAGAATCATTATAGTTTCCGAGCAATATAATCCAACATATATTCAACAATGGTGCAAACTCGACCTTCATCGGCTCAAAGCAACGATAACCACAAGTCGTTTGATCATATGGATTCAAATATCATTAAGAATTCCGTAGTATACCCGATGTCAGAAGTTACAATAGATATGCCGCCACGAGCATCGTCCACTTCAATACAAGCAGCTCGCATTACATGCAAGTATATGATTATGGTGGGCAGTAAAAACAGTTTAAACGATGAATCAAAGTTCAAAACACTTGATGGAACATTTGATGATGAGAGAATATCGATCAAAGAAGCCGTCTCAAGTATTATCCATGAAAATAAACCAAAAAATAGGATAAATCCTTTCCCAATGAAGTTTGCTGTAGTATTTGATAATGAGATTATTGATAATCATGAATTGCCTATTAGCTCTCTTAAAAATTTATCATCATTGGTACTCTACATATTAACAATTCCAGGGAAACACTGTGTTGCAGAAGAGAACGATACGTGAGTAATTATGAATGTGAGCACTATTGAAGAACATGCATCATTTTGATTATTCTAAGTAATGGAACTGATGGTCAGTTTTCTGCTTCATAAGGAATTCTCACCGCTTTGCTGGTAGTTGCTCATCAGTTTGAAAATTCCCATCTCTCAGTTCTCCGACGCTAATGACTTGCTTTCAGAATGTTACTCCTTGGAAAATATTTTTACATGGTTTATACATATATTTTAGTTTATCAATTGCGTCCTCTGATATGACAATACCAATGCATTCACTTACCCCGTTATATCAGGTACTGCCAACGACATCCATCCAGTATTCATTTAGTGATACAGATTACATATTCGTTTATTACATCTATGATAAACAGACATCGTCGACACAATCAAAAAAATCTTCATTTCGTTTTTTCGTCTTGCAAGACATTCAGGCGAACTCACAATTACAATCAATTCGACAGAAAGTAAATCAGCAAATGAATGCTAAAAGTGACTAT